GGAGGGCGCGCGGAGGGTCGGTTCCCCGAGCGGGCGGCAGGTTCCTGTCGCGTTCCGGTGAGGGGCTGAGGGGCTGCTAGCTTAGTGTAGCTGTAGCAGCGTGCTACCTGAGCTCTCTTCTCAGGACCCAGCCGCCGTTGCTGTAACCTTAACGAAAATAGCTCTAATTACCTGCTTGCAGTTCCAGTGAAACGGGCTGTTTTCAGAAGGGAGAGCATCTCGTCATGTGCTAAATGAGAAACTTGTAGCTGCAGAAGAGAAAGAGAGGAGGCAGGAATATTAGTTCAGAACTTTTTATCAGTCTCTTACCAAACTGGTAAGTTTTAAACCATAAAAAATACGACCTAAGTCGGTTAATTTTAATCTGTGTTCTTTCAGCTGATACTAAACTTTTGTTGTTGTTCCTTTTTTCCAACTCCTTTATTGTTGTATCATGTTTACTACCGTCACTCATTCGTACGAACTTACATTAACAATATCTGCTGCTGTTTTTCAATAGAAAGTTGTTTCATTTTGCTCTGGGCAGGTATTAATCACACAGTGTTCAAAACATTGGCAGTATGTCTTCAGTGGTAACAAAAATCCAAGAGCTCCTTGAGCAGATAGTATGTTATTTGTGAACCATGGTTAATAATGGGTTATATAAATGTATGTAACACTAAAATTGGTAACTTCGGCTTGAGCTAGGAAGCTTGATGGTTACCCCTTCAGAACATGAACAGATAACTTTGTGTAAATGTATCAAATAATGTTTAAATATTTATAATAATATATAAATATAACAAACTTAGCCTTGCTGACGGAAGTTCACTATGCATGGTGCAGCTGCTTTACTAAAAGCTTGTTTGTAAGTGTATATAGGGAATGTACCTGATAAAGTGGTGGAGGTACATGGTCTGGCATTTACTATCTTTGGCAGCTATATAAACACGTAATATTTGAGGCTGATAAGAGTCCCAGTATTTCTGCAAGTCGGTGACATACCTGTTGTTCCGGCTCACCTGCAATTACTGTTTATCCGTGATGCTTCCCACTGAGCAGCGAGTGTCCAGTGAAGGACACAGCTCTGTAGTAATCAGCGTGATGTTTGTTCTAAGTTGCTCCCTGTGACCAAGCAGGTTATTACGGGCTGGTAGTGTTTGATTTCTGGAGGGTTTGGAATAGCACTCTGCTCTAAAGAGGAAAGAATGACATCAGTGCCATGCTAGTGACCATCTGTCTGTAGCACAAAGCCATTTCATAGTTTGGCACTGTTCAGCACAACTTGTAGGTGTGTGTTTTGTTTTTTTTTTTTTTCTCCCATCTCTCCTTGCAATGTTGCAAGAGAAAATGGAGAGTGTAAATGTGTAGGCAGAGCAGTGCAGGTGCTGGTATCAGACCAGCTTTCCATACCATCAGAACTCACTTTCGTGTGATGGGTCTCTTCTCTGGGCCTTAAACTTAGCTACTTATAATAGCTCAGGTAATTTTAGTGGGAAAATGAGAAAAAAAAATGTATATAGAGAATAATACTATAACATACATATTGTATAAATGTATTTATATAATATAAATATTTTTTCTGATTACTTTTTTGAGCAAGAAAACAAGAAAATGTTTCTTTTTCAAATTTTTTTTTTTTTTGAGGAAGGAGAGAAAGAAGCATTTTCAAATCTGTGTCCTTCTGGTGGCCAGTGTGACTTGACTTGCCATATCTCGATTTCTTGTAAGTATGCTCTGTGGTTTCTTTCTGTTTTTTGTTTTTTCTTTTTTTAAATCCAAAATGCATATAACTCATCACACTATTATTGTATCACATGACACATGAATTTGATTTCTTATTTTCATGACCTTTTTTGTTGTTGAAATAAGTTTGCTGTCAACCGAGAAGTCCTGGTCTCTCTATTTTCAGTGTCCTGTGTTTGGAAAACTGGATACTTCTGTGGAAGTATGTGCTGTTTGTCCTGTTGTGGTTTCTCAAACAGGATTTTTTTTTTTAATTATAGTTAACAATATGGTAGCAACTAGAGAAAGTGGTGTGAAGGGTGTGGGTAGGAAGGATGAAGTTACTTTGGATCGAAAGCCTTTTGATTTTTGAATTTTATAAGTAGAGCAGTCGTTTTGTCTTGTGTTTTGTGGTCTTGTCAGATCTTCAGAGACGCTCTGCTTTCAGATGGCATGAATAAATGTTTTCAACTCTTGATTGAATTTGTGTTTCTGCTCCAGCTTTAATAGAACCATAGGTTTTGATGATATGTGCTTTGGCTCAGGTATACAGTTATGAATTCAACTCATAGCGCTCATAGAAATCCATATGACTTGTAAAAGTTTCTTGAACATAGAATTCTGTCATATTGTTAAACTGGAATGGATCAGATGCATCGCTTTGAGGTGTATTGAGTGATGTACTGTGAATTATAAAAATTGTTACGCATTGTACAGAAAATAATCATTGAATGGTCACCACGGCATCCAAATGCTGCGTTTTATTAGTTGGTGATAGTGTCTCTGGTTGGGAAGTTCATTCTGTGCCTAAACTAATTAATTTTTGTTTTTGAGCTAGGTTCTGTTTAGCCTTTCTTACAATAGATCTGTTGTAAGACGAGTAGGTAGGACAGTTCTGGCTGTTTAGTTTTTGCCTGCCAACTCAGTGTGTGCAATCTGAATACATTTTTATGTTGTGCAACTATTTAATACATGGAATATAAAGCTTTGCTTTTTGTTTCTTGCGGAGTTGATAGTATTTGCAATGTTACAGCCAGTTTATTTTCCATGTTTTACGGTTTATGAAATAATATTGTTCCATTGTTCCTTTCGAAAGGGGAATGATTTGGTGGTGATGGAGTGCTGCCACTGACAGATGGACTCACAGGAAAGAAGGTGAGAATGAGTAGCGAGGCGAAGCCCAGAGGCTTGTGGAAATGTGCCAACTAATAATCATCTTTTAAAAGTGAGCGATGTCCACATACACTTGTTATATAAGTTGAGCTGAAGATGAGGTGGGCTGACCTAACTTCAGCTTTAATTGTGTCTGGAACCCTCAACTTATTATAACAGTAACTTTTTTTCCCCAACTCATTGTTGAGGGTTACCTGTGCATAGCTATTGGAATTTGAAAGTAACATTATCTGATGAAGAATAGATCAGATCTCTTATTTGCATGTGTGAATTCTGATTCTAGCTTGATAGCCCTGCAACTAGACTGTTATTGTATCCTTTTTTCTTACCCTAAGAAACCTAACAGAGGGGTCAGGTGTCTTGGGATGGAAGGGTAGTGTCTTCTGTTGAATCCAGATGTATGTCCGAATTTATCTTGCATTGCTCTCTGAAGAGTTACTAAATGGATAAATACCCAAACATTAGGCCATGGATTAAATTTAATACACACAAAATTTAATACACTGTTTATAATTGTGCTCTGTTCTTTGGTGTGCTTTGCTCTTCTGAGTAAAATCCACATTTTGATCTTGGGCATGCTGTGATTTTTGGATTTCCTAGCTTTTCCCACCTTGTGTATTATCTAGCTTATTACTTTTCATTTACTTCTAAGCAGAAATGTATAGTGTTAAAATGCACGGTTCACTTTGCATTAAATTCAAGGGATTTGGGTTGGGTTAAATTGTTTACCCCAATTTCAGAAGATTCCTTGACTAATCTTTTTGTTGGTCATCTTACGTGGAAAAAGAAACACGAACAGTTGGGGTTGCAAGGGATCTGGAGATGATCTGGTCCAAACTCCTGCCCAAGCAGGGTCATCTGGAGTAGGCTGCCTAGGACCTTTTCCCAGTGGAAAACCCAGTGGGTTTTGAATATCTCTGAGGCTGGAGCCTGCCCACCTTCTGTGGGCAACTTCTTCCAGTGGGGCTGGGAACAGAAACTGAGACGTGGAACTATCTGTACTATTCAGTCTCACCTACCCGTGCTATGCAACGAATTGCATAATTTGAAAGAAGTTAGAGCCAGCACGAATAGCTGCCTACTGTTTTGAGTGTGCTGCTTGTGTGCCAGAAGTTGGCAGCAATGCATCCTATCAAACAGAACATTTTTGGAATTCTTTCAGTGTTGGAAAACATGCATTACTTAATGCTTTTGTTTCTACATGTACACTGCTATTCCATCAAAGCTTTTCTCACTGCCTTAGCGCCTGTTTTACTTCACAAGTTCATGTGAAGCTGGCAAGAGCTGCTTTGTAGAGGGAATAAAGTGCTGAAGACTGTTGTCGAATGAGTAAATAAATCTCCTTTTTTTTTTCTGTAGGGTGGACAGCAATCTACTATATATGAATCTGTAAATGAATTTGGCTCTTAATTGAACTTGAGATGCTGTCTGCATTAAAGTTTTAAAATGTAATTTTTAGTTATACGATTACATCAATAGCTAAAACTATATGCTCATTGTCAAATGTTTTGAGGATTTTTTTTTTTTTTTGTGCTGGATGGAAGAAGTTACTGACTAAGTTTCAAACCAGAGTTTGCCCAAGTGTTAAAGCAGCTTTGGAAAGTTGCTCTCATTCCTGCAAGCTTTGTTTTGTTTTGGGGTGGTTTTTATTTGAATGGCTGTTTTGAATGACTTGCTTATTTGAATCTGAGGAACTTGTTAAGAAATTAAAAAGCAAAAATAAACCCCTTTTCTTCTGAAGATAGAAATGAAAGTAGGTAAAGCATGAGATTTTTGCAGATGTGATGTTTTGAAAACACTGAATATAAACAATCAGTTCACTGCACAGTCTGCAGGCAGCTTTTCCTTTTAAAAGCAAATGTTTCACGAGAACTTTTTGTACTGTTTCAGCACACGTGGCATTGTATGTAGCTGCTAAGCATATTTGTAATGTCATTTTTCTGTATTTTAATTTCAAGAATACAAAACAAAATCAAAAAGTTGCAATTTTTGCCACTTTCCTGACGCATTAGGAATTAACGTAAATCTCACTGTTTGTATTCTATAGGAATAACATAACTATGTCCTTGAATATACATGCAATGGCATAAGTGTATTTTCATTTGATTTCACAGTGAGCAAAAGTACTATATTTAATATAAGGGCTCTTGTTAGTTGTGAGTAAGTAGTCTTTACAGGTTACTAACATCAGGTCAGCTGCTTTTCAAAGAGGGAACTATAAATGAAAAACCTAATGATTTTATTTTGAAGTTTTTTTTTCCTTTAAATAACGTTTTAATTGAGATCACTAAATTTGAAATGGCGTAAATGAAATTCCTGAAATTGAAGCTGATGCCTGAGCTTCTAAGTCTTTCAAACACATGTGACAAGCAAGCTGCACATGACTGAACCCTAGAAAACTGCGAGCTGATTCTGTTTTCTCCATTCTTGTAGTTCAGAAGAGGCAGAAGGAGCCAAAGAGAGAGGCCTGGTCTATGTGTGGAAAGCTGGTTCCTGCTCCATAACTCCAGAGAGACTTCCAGGCCTCAATGGGAAGACGGTGTTGCAGGCAGCCCTTGGAGTAAATCATGGTTTACTTCTAACAGAAGGTAGTAAGCATTTTAATCTTAGACTTAAAGCAATAGCAAGCTTTGATTATTGTCAGTTTTGTTTTCTTTTAGCGTTTTTATCTGATCCTTTTTCTGAGTCCCATAAACAACTTCTAAACTGTTAAACTTGTAACATTGCCAATATTTACTTCTTAATATCCCTTCAAACTGTTCAATTTTTTTTCCTTCTCTCTTAATGGCTCTGGGTTTCAGTTTTAAAGATGGTGAAATGACCTGAAGCACCCTGTTATCTCAAAATAAAAGTTACTGTGACTTCTTTTGTTCCAAAAAGACATCGTAGCAACAAGTTTTCACAATGTGTAGGATCCTTTGGTTTCTGGAAGAATACATAGCTAGCGGATATAGCAGCAATGCATTTGCAGATGCAGGTTTTAAAAAGGAAAAAAAAAAGCTACAGGTTATCTGAATGCCTGTTCTAGCCATCTCTATATCTAAGAAACTGTTATGGAGATCCAGTGTTTTTTTGAGAACCTGGTTTTGAGTAATTAAAAAGACCTTTGCCCATATATTCTTACACCATGAAGAATATTATCTGCAAGTATAGTTTATGATTCTTTTATCACTGTCAAAACAACTGTTGTCAAAATTCATCCTTAAAGTAGATTTTGCTTTTTTGCTTTTATTTAGTATCATGTGACCTAACTTGCATTGGTGTTGCTGCAATCACTTTAGATAAAAACAAATAGATTTGGAAGAAGGGCCTTGTGATTAAAAAAATTAAATAATGGGGTATACTTACCCCATTTCCACATGTTAGGGCAATGTTCTCTTGTGGTACTTGAGGATGGTAGGATCAGTACAACTAGGGATGCTAGATATCTGTATGGAAGGGTGAGTTCTGTACTTCAGTGTGGTCTTCCAGCATGGTTGCATGCATGAACTACAGAGCAGGGAAAACTTTAAAGGCTGAAGTATAAAACTGTGTTCTCTATTAAGAAATAGAATATGTTATTTACTCTTAAGAAAATTCTTATGTAGTTTGTCAAGAGTATTGTTTGCTCTGAATAATGTGTACCAGCAAGATGAATTGTATTTATTCATCTGGATGTTCATTGTAGATCAACATTCCTTGGTCCTTTTTAAAATATATTCATTCAGCCTATTCTGTTAACTTTGGTATAGTAGAATTTTTAGCAAAAAAGTATTACTTCAGCAGTGTTCGTGTATGTGCGGGGTAATGTTAATACCAGGTATATAGAACTTAGAGCAGCCAAGGCAAAGACCAACCAGCAGCCTTCATGCATCAGTACCACAGAATAAGCCAAAAATCGATGTTCATTCATTTGACTCTCTTTAAATTGTAGTTCTGGCTTAATTTCATTAAAACTGTACTGTCTTTTTCAGGTGGAGAGGTCTACAGTTTTGGCAAACTTCCCTGGAGAACAGGATCTGAGGAGTCATGCACCAATAGCCCCATCTTAGAAAATACTTTGCTTGGGCAGCATGTTATTACAGTGGCAGCTGGCAGCTTCCATAACGGAGCCGTGACAGACGGTGGCGTGGTCTACATGTGGGGAAACAATTCTGCTGGCCAATGTGCTGTTGCTAATCAAGCTTACGTGCCAGAACCACAGCCCATCAGTATTTCTGATTCTGAAACGAGCCCTCTGCTATCGGTCAGGATTTTGCAGCTGGCATGTGGAGAGGAGCACACGCTGGCACTATCGCTAAGCCGGGAGATATGGGCCTGGGGGAGTGGCTGCCAGCTGGGCCTCATAACAACAACTTTCCCAGTGATCAAGCCCCAGAAGGTGGAGCACCTGGCAGGGCGTGTTGTGCTCCAGGTTGCCTGCGGAGCTTTCCACAGCCTGGCTCTCGTACAGTGTCTCCCTGTGCAGGAGATGAAGCCTATCCCGGAGAGGTGCAATCACTGCAGCCAGCTCCTCATTACCATGACGGACAAGGAAGATCACGTAATCATATCAGATAGTCACTGTTGCCCACTGGGTGTAGCACTAGCTGGTACCCAAACAGATAATCTTCTTTCCTGTCCGTCGTTGGAGACCCTAGAAGGAAAAAGTGTGACAGGTAGCCAAAGTGAAGACAGTCAGAAGTGCGTTGTGGCAGAACATACCCTTGTTGCTTTGGAAGCTGATGGAGCAAGCTTGCTTTCCAGCAATGATGGACAGGAAGACAGCGGAATCTCTAGTCCTGGGAATATTCTGTTCCCTGACAAAAAAGAAGTGAAGGAGTATAGTTTATCAGACAGCTCACTGAATGAGAGCCTGGAGAAAAGCATTGCTACAGAGCCTGAGCAGGTTGGTACCTAGTAACCGGTTTCTAATGTGCCACAGCTTGTGTTAAGCTGTATTCATGATGTTTTGTGTTATACTGATCACAGATGAACTATTTTCTTAGTGTTTTAAGTAGGACTTTTCTGTAGTTTCCCCCTCCCCCCCCGCCCCGTGGTGGTTCTCAGCTTATGTATGGAAGAGTTTGTTGGCTGTTCTCAGCTCCAAGCCACCTTTAATGTGAGCAGCCTTGGCAGCGCTCCAGCCTTGCCTCCGCATGGGGGCCATGGACGTGTGGAGTCTTTTGCGGAGGGGAAAAAAAAAAATTCAAAGATGATTTTCTTTCTTGCAGGATAAAATCCAGAATATTAAGGGATGTTAGATGGGAAACTGGGGCTTTGCTGACTTTTTGATATTTGCTAAATAGGTTAAATGTGTGTTCTTTATTACTTGATGTGTAAATAGGTTGCTACAGTAGTAGATAATATTCTGGTAGTAATGGCTGCTTTTAATATTTACTTCTGGCAAACAAGTAACTGCTGATTATTGTTAACAACTGTGCTTTATATGGATACAATGGTAGCGTAAGTGGGTATGTAGCATAGAGTAGACCTTGCTAAATGAATCAATGGATCACAATATATTAACCTATCTTTTTGTAAATATAATGTCTTCTGAGCAGCTGGAGAAGCTGCTAATAAGCCTAGAATTAAATCTTAAATTTGTTTTGCAAAGACTATTTTTTTTTAGTATTTAAAAAAGGCAAAGAAAGCCTCTTCCCCACTCTCCCCCCAAAAAACAAGCAAACAAAACAAGTCTGTGACCTCTTATGGATGAGCTACAAGGAACAGACAAAGCCTGGTCCGTGTAAAAGTGGCTCATGTTACAAAACATGATTGATTCTAAGAAATAGATCTAGATGTAGGTATGAGAAGCTTCAGCAGTGTCTCATTCAGTATAGCACATAGTTTGAATAGTAAGTGTGTATCTTCATCCCCCTATTGCATGGTGTCTGATAGGATGTATTTCAATCTTTCTTTGGTTTTAGGCTTCTCAAGAACAACAACTTGGTGCTTGTGTCCCAGGCCCTCCAAGCACCAGCACATCTGCTTTGAACAGCTTGGTGGCCTCTTGTGCATCAGCAGTGGGGGTGAGAGTAGCTGCTACGTACGAAGCTGGAGCACTGTCTCTGAAGAAAGTCATGAACTTCTATGGCACATCTTCAAGTGAAGCTGGGTCTCAGTCTGGCAGCAGTTCCACGGGGCCTGACAGCCTCAAAGACAGTCGAGAAGAGCAGGTCAGGCTGGAATCCATGCAAGGAAAGAAGAGTTCCAGCTTAGTAGATATTAGAGAGGAAGAATCTGAAGGAGTGAGTCGAAGACTTTCCCTAACTGGCTTGTTGTCACAAGGTAAGAGAGTGTTTTGGGAAAGCCAAGAGACTGGAAAAGTTACAATGCTGTAAAGGGTTGTAACTGAAGACACAGTACACTTGGAGGTGAATTTAATCCTCTTAAAGGTGTTTATTAATTATAAATTGTATTTAAAAAGCTGAAGGTGGGGGAGGAAGGCTGGCAAATACTTCATCTTCATAAAACCAAAAGCATAGTGGGCTTAGGAATGAATGTTTTTATTGCATAAAATGGGCTCACCATGGTAAATTGGTTATCTTTTACAAAAAGAACTGAGACTGCCTTTCACATAGGTTGCGTAGCAGTTAAGATCTGTGTGGCCCTTGAACCCTACTGCATGGCTCTGGTTTTGAGACAGGGGGTCTAGAAATATTCCAGTTCCAACTGCTGAACTTCAAAGCGAGTGGGCTTCTCCCTTGCAAGTTTTAATGTTGTTAGTCACTCTGAGTGCAGAGTTGTGTGGCTTCATTCTATACTGGCTCTAGATCTGAGCAGAGTTTTTAGGAGTTGTTGGAATACTTTTGGTCACAGCAAGGATATACTTTCTTTCAAAATATGCTTACTTTTACATATAATTTGTTTTTGTTCATTTACTTTACTGTAACCACATAATTTTTATATATCCATTTTTCTCTAAAATGATAACTAAAATTTGCTTGGGACTTCTCTACTTTTAGCATATATTGCTCCTGTGTTTGTGAGTATTCTAACTTCTTATACTTTAGTGTTTGCTCCTGAATCTTAGACTCCCCTAAAGACTCCTTGAACAATTGTTTTGAATGTTACTCTTCCTGTGTAAGACACAGTCTGTGTAATAATCTATTTATCTGGAGTGATGAGCTGAGTTTGGGGTATTTTAATTGGTTTGTTTTTAGCTTTTGTTTTTCAAGCCTTAAATGTTGTTTTGGTTTCTCTTCGCTTGTTTTCAGTTTCTCCTAGGCTCTTGCGGAAGGTGGGACGGGCAAAAATGAGGACTGTAGCTCTGACCCCAACCTACAGTGGGGAAGCTGATGCACTGTTACCATCTCTAAGAACGGAGGTATGGAGCTGGGGAAAGGGAAAAGAAGGACAACTAGGACATGGTGATGTTCTGCCAAGGTGAGACCTCTTTGAGAAAAGCTGCTTTGCTCAGCAGGCTACTAGGAAAACTCGAACACTAAACTTCCCCTGAATTGGCCAACTGCCTTACTTTGGGCTCTTATTCTTTTAAATTGTCTGCTGGCCACAGGTCCTTCTAGTAACATGTTTTATGCTATATTCTTCCTAAACTTAGGTCAGTCAGAACTTCTCCTTGGCAGGAGTTTTGATGAGATTTTTTGATTGAATTGCTCAACAGTTTTGACTAAATGGGGTGAGGTTCATCATCAATTTTCATCCTTCAGGAACTTTTAGCTAAGCTGGTTTATTGCCAAAAGATTCCGTGTACTATTCTGTTTTCTCTCAGGTGCTTGGGGAAAAAAATAAAACTCAGATTTTATTTTCATGTTAGCAATTCCTCTGATAGTTTTTTTGGTTTTCTTCCTTCATGGGTTCTGGGGATTGACAGGCTTCAGCCACTATGTGTGAAAAGTCTAGATGGCAAAGAAGTGATTCAACTGTCTGCTGGTGGCCATCATTCCTTAGCACTCACTGCCAAATCCCAGGTACAAGTGATCGTATAACTTACTGCTTATCTTTGACATGGTTGTCATGTTTGCTATTTTCTAGGTTTGTTTTTTAGTTTTGCTTCTAAGCATTCATTCCTGTTTGTGGGAGGGGAGTTGGAAGCACTGTCCTTAGTGGAGATTTAGTTATATTTTTGCTTCATTTTGTGCATGTGTCATCAATATTATATTTAAAGATCGGTGACTTAATGTGACGTGCTCCAATTCTGAATGTTAGAAGGCATAACCTAAGAAAATAGAACAGCGGAGTTTAGGATACATACCCTTGATACCCTTGACTCATGTCTGTTTGCACAGTTGATGTGTTGCACTGTGATGTACTGTTAAACTCTGATGCTTGGCTGTGTTCTGCACAGGTGTATTCATGGGGCAGTAATACCTCTGGCCAGCTTGGGCACTTCAGCTCCCCAACAACAGTCCCTCGTCTTGCAAAGGTACTTCCTGTTTGCTGTATTTTTCTTCTTTCAATTTAGAGCCTCTTCCAATAAGCATGAGCATAATTTCTAAAAACTGACCTTGTCTATAGATCTGTGTGCTATAAAGTAACACCATTAATTCCTTTGATTTATAGCATGACACTAAATCTTTACATGAATCAGTGAAAATACCCACAATAATTCATTTCCATAAACTTCAACTGTGCAAGTATGTTTGTTTGTTTTTTCTTTTGGGGAGGAGGAGAGTATCTTATAATCAGATTTCATTTCTGCCTTATCATTGGCTTCTCTGATACTAAAGTTGCAATGCTAAGACTTTTTAATAGCAAGGAATAGTGTTTATGTTCTAAACAATTGCCCCTAGATGTCTAGTTTTACTAGATCATAGCCATACTTGCTATTCACCTCTGTATTTCTATAGCTGTTGGTTGCATCTTGCATGAAAGTCAGTGCTGTAGTGGTCTTTTTGCCTGTTTTAGCCTTTTTATCACATTGAGTAAATAGTCCAGTTTTGGGGTTAGACTTGACTTGACTGTTTTTAGTTTCTTGCCTGTCTTTTTGGAAAACTAGTTATAGAATTGTCCTGTTTAGGTCTTATGCAAATTAATGTACAGCTGTCTCCCAAATTCATAGAATTTCCAGTTAAATAGAGAGGGGAGGTCAGTGTCCAAACTTTCATGAAGTTACTTGGACTTGAATGGACTTGAAGTCCATTTTAGAATGAAACTGGCTTAGAATGTCACTTTCGAAACTTTCATGAAGTTACTTGGACTTGAAGTCCATTTTAGAATAAAACTGGCTTAGAATGTCACTTTCGGCAAAACACAGGAAAAAATATTTGTTAATGAGACATTGGCATTGAAAAATGCCGAGTTATTGTGATACTTTTGCATGTTGTCAGTCTGTTCCTTGTTTGTGTGACCAGAAGTGCTGGGAACTTCCAGCCTCGACCTCAAGTGGTGATTTTTTTTTTTTTTTTTTTTCTTCCCCCATGTCTTTTCTTTCCCCATGAATTTTAGGTGCTTGGTGATGGTGTTTGGAGTATGGCAGCAGGACCACATTATTCTCTCTTCTTAGCAGACGAGAAAGATTTCCAGCCTGGATTATATTATGGTGGCCAGGAGACAACCACACAAGATTATTTATTTGAAAATAACTGTACAAAGGCTCCAGTTCTGCTTCTGTCCTGTAGTAAGGTGGGTGGTATTTGCTTTGTTAGTACAGTCCTATGGCTAGCTTTTCTAAAATGGCACAGTGAAGGTCCTTCAGCTAGCTTTAAGGGCATGGAGGCAAGGAACTTGTTCCTTCTAGTCAGCATTGCTTGTGGATGGTCCCTCTGAGCTGTGAATCATCTCCTTTTCCTGGATGTAAAGGAAGAAGAATGGAGCAAAGACACCAAAAGGGCATTTGTGTATTTTTGGGGGAGCGGAAGTGCCCCTATTCATTTTTTATTACCAAGCTCCATCTCTCTAACTCTTAAACTGGGTATGAAGTGGGGGGGCCTATATGCTCTGACTCCATGAGTCCTGTTGCAAGCTCTTTAGTCTCAGACCAACATGAGTTTGAAGCATTAGGCAGGAGACAGGGAGAATAGAAACTATCTCCTTGCCTCCCCGCTGTTCTGGGTCTCATTGCTCATAGGTGTGGCAGATTACGACTGAAGAGTAGTTTTGAGAATCACGCAAACACCCTTGTATTTTTTCCTGTGAGACTGTTGCTAGCCATTCGCTTGTCTTCTCTTACAGGGTGGCTCCTCAGTCATAGGATTGTCTAGCAGAATATTTAATTGGTTTTTGCATGTCACAATTGGGCTCTGGTTTACTTTCTGGGCACCTCTGGCCCAGTGTTTCTGAGGAATCTTCCATTCAACAACAAACACTAAGTTACTTTACAGTATTGTATGTGAAATAGAATTTAGGAGGAGTCAGAGTGTATCGGTGACACTTGTGGAAACTGCAGAGAGAAATTTTCCTTCCTACAACTGTGAGCTCTAAAAGCAAGTAGAACAAATCCATTTTTTGAAGCTATTGGAACTATTATGTGGAACTAGTAGTTATTTAGAACTATTTTGGAATATTGCCTTTGTGAATTCAGAGAGTAATTGTAAAAATCAAACCCTCGTAGCCATTGCTTTCTAGTTGTAGGAAGAAATAGCTCATTGATATTAGTATCAATATTGCTGATATGCATAAAGAAATAAGTCACAGATCTAAGTGATTGAGTTCATGGTCATTATCTCTTACGCAAGTAACTGTGTGAGCTGTCTCAAAAGGTCCATTTGTTGCTTCCTAGGCTGTGCCAGTGCTAGGAAAATGAACAGCATTGACTATGAACGTTTCTTCTACTTAGCAGTCTTTTATTAAGCCAGTTTAAATGGATTGTTGTGGATAGATAACATTTATTCAGCCCTGATAAAAAAAAAAATACGGAATAAAAGATCTATATCATTCTAATTTTAAATTGGAAGCTAGGAAGAACAATATTAATGCTGCTCTTTTTCTTTCTTTCTTTTTTTTTTTTTCTCTCCTTTTTTGCCTTTTCAGATAGGGTACATAAGCAATGTGATAGCTGGCGGGGAAAGCTGTTTGGTCTTGGTAGACAAAAACATAATGGGGTATATTGCCAGTTTGCATGAGTTGGCCTCTACTGAGAGGAGATTCTATTGTAAACTGAGTGAGATCAAATCTCAGGTTCTTAGACCTCTTCTAGGTTTAGGTAAGAACTTTTTTCTAACTTTTTCTTTGTTATAATTTCCCTTAAATTCTGTAACTTCTTTATGGAAAATTTAAAAATGATGTTATGTATTAAAGCTAAGATCTTATTCCTGTTTCCTGTTTGGAACTATTAGTGAAATACAGATGCTTTCCGACATCTGCTTTATGTTACTGGTACTTACACTTTCCTAACTATTTCATATCTTAATAGTTTGAGCCGTATTTAGTCTAAAATCATTGAATTCCTGATTCTGAATAATGTTGCCAGGAAGTGAAATTGCTGATAAAACACTGCAGTAGTAATGTGGGATAATTCTCCTTGTTAATGGGTGCTATTCTCTTGTAGTATATGCTCAATTGGTTTCTGTTGTGTTGCAGATAACTTGGGCAGTGCAAATACAATCCAGTTGTTGCAGGAAATGGCAAGCAGATTCAGCAAGCTCTGCTATCTCATTGGTCAACATGGAGCTTCCCTAAGTAGTTTTCTTCGTGGAGTGAAAGAAGCCAGGAGCCTGGCCATCCTGAAGCATTCCAGTCTCTTCTTGGACAGTTACACTGAGCAAGTATCTAGTTCTCTCTCATCCAGAGTCTCTGCAAGCATAAGGAAAACAGCATAAGAAACTACCATGCCAATTATATTTTTGCTACTCAAAATTTATGGAGGATATTGCAAAAAGAGTAGTCTGCTTTGTACTGAGCTGTGTATTTCAAGTAGCAGAGCATACCATACAGCTTTCCTACTGTAAAACTGTGGATAAACTTTTTTTGGTTGTTGCTAAAATATCTTGCAGAGTGACGTAATTGTCATTAATAATTAGGATGCTCTAATACGGTGTAATAGAGTGGCTCCCCTCTCTGTAGCTCCCCACTCCTAGGCTCCCCAGCTTCAATCTTGCCTGCTTTGCCTAGTCCCATTTGACTAGTGGCTGACATTCCCGAGGGCTGCGCTGCCGTTCAGAGGGACCTTGACAGGTTGGAGAGTTGGGCAGAGAGGAACCTTGTAAGGTTCAACAAGGACAAGTGCAGGGTCCTGTACCTGGGGAGGAATAACCCCAGGCACCAGGACAGATTAGGGATTGACCTGCTGGAAAGCAGCTCCGCAGAGAGGAATTTGGGAGTCCTGGTTGACCCCAAGTTCCCCATGAGGCAGCAACGTGCCCTCGTGGCCAGGAAGGCCCATGGGCTCCTGGCTGCAGCAGGAGAAGCGTTGCCAGCAGGTTGAGGCGGGGGATCCTGCCCCTCTGCTCAGCTCTGGTGAGGCCACATCTGGAGTTCTGGGCTCCCCAGAACAAGAGGGCTGTGGAGCTTCTAGAAAGGGTCTAGCGTAGAGCCACAAAGATGATTAAGAGACTGGAGCATCTATCGTATGAGGAAAGACTGAGCGAGCTGGGCCTATTTAGCTTGGAGAAGAGAAGACTGAGAGGAGATGTGATCAATATGTACAAATACCTGAGGGGAGAATGTAGGGAGGATGGGGCCAAACTCTTCTCGCTGGTGGCCAGTGACAGGATAAGGGGTAATGGGTACCAGTTGAAATACAGGATGTTTAATCTCCATGCAAGGAAGAACTTCTTTCCTGTGAGGGTGCCAGAGCCCTGGCACAGGCTGCCCAGAGAGGCTGCGGAGTCTCCTTCTCTAGAGATCTTCCAACCTGCCTGGATACCACGCTGTGCCCAGTGCTGTAGGTGTCCCTGCTGGAGAAGGGGGTTTGAACTAGATGACATCTAGAGGTCCCTTCCAACCTCAACCATTCTGGGATTCTGTGATGCTAAGCAAAGCTACCTTTGGGATATATTGTGGTTACAAAATACCAAAACTCGCTAACTAAAAACTGCATCCTCCATCATAGAACAACAATTCTTCTTTCCTGCTATTTGCCAAATAACGAGCATTACATCTTTCACCTGGGAGCTCGAGCTGTTCTAATGCCCAGAATTAAGTATAAATTATTACAATTACTATATTATGTACTTAGTTGGTTTGATTGGCTTGGAATTATTTGTAATTGTAGGCAGACATTCTGTCCCGTTCTTACTGTCTCTCTGATTTCAGTTCTTTTTGTAACTTGGATTTCCAGAGTTTATTCTCATCGTTGCTCAGATTAGAAGGGTTTTTTTAATTTCTTCTTTTTTGTGCCTGTCAAAGGTTGAAATATCTGTTTTCTGCTGTCATTGTTACTGCCTGTCTTCTCCTGTCTCTGTGTTTTTAGTGCTTTACGCATTTTGCCTGTGGTATAAAAACCTGTGCATCCTTCAGTGTAGTATCTGAGCCTCTTCCAAGGCTCCATCAAGCAACAGAAGTACTAGCTGTTAACTATATTGAACTGAGACCTCGATCTCCTTGGAGAAACATGTTGTGAATTATTTCTTTATAGTTTTCTTTTATTAGGAGAAAAATAAGAGATAGAATGTTAAATAGCAGGGAAAAAAAATCCCATGCTGAAGGTCACTAGAAGCTAGCAGCATTATTCCATAGAAACAGATGACTTGCTCTGTACATGGCCATGTTCAGGGGAAACCCCAAAATTTAAAAGAGAGGATTCTGTTGCAAAGTAATCTTTCTGTGTTGTTCTAACAGCAGCGCGAATGTGGAAGAGTAATACAGGTCCTACCTTTCATATGGGAAGTGACTATTAAGTGTTCCACTAATGTTGAGTGGCTGAATGTTCATTGTTTTCTCAAGTAGCTAGACTTCTATGCTTAAAACTTACAGATCTCATTGATAAATGGTTGAAATGTCAACTGTATTTGTTTCCCAGAGATGTTTTTGGTTGGAAACTGAAGCTATCTTTTTCTTTCCTTTTTTTAGGTACTGCACTTCAGTAACAAACTTCCTGGTAATGGGAGGATTTATGCTCCTCGCAAAGCCAGCAATGTAAGAAAACCTTTACCCTGATTTCAAAAACTTGAAATAATTGTACTTTGAACTGTATGTGCATATGTTTGCATGTGTGTAGTAACAAGCATGTGGTAACTTGATTTTGGCATACCTGAGTACACTGATTTCTTTTCCATCCGAGGAAGAAAGACGCTTGCTCTCAAATGTGATAACAATTTAAGTTTAAATGCTGCTGAATGAGTTCAGTTGCTTTATCTTGAAGGTGGAGAAAGAGAATAAGTGTAAAAGGTAATTTCCATGTAATTTATATAAGTACATAATATTTCAGGATAATGATTCTTGACAGCTTAGTCTTGAGGTTAAATTTTCATTGTTCAGTGTTTGCTGATACATAATCCTTTCAAATATTGCTGTAAACAAATACAGCAATCTCTTAAGAACTGAGTAGATGAAACTAGTTATATTTAGTTTGAATTCTCTAACTTTACAGAAGAAATCTAAAATGACACTAAAATACAGCACAACACTTTTGCACAAGTATCCTGTATGCCTCTAAAGGATGCTTTACTCTTTCATATGTAAGCGTTCAGAGCATTAAATAAAAGCTCTGTCTTGAGGCCTGAGACATAATATTTGAACTGCATTGATCTCAGAGTAAAGCCTCTTCTCAGTTAAACAATATTTTAACCTAGAAGATAAAATAATGATACTGTGAATCTTTCAACATAGTGTTGTGAAAAAGTTGTGATGAAGAGTTTAACTCTTCATTTGCATTCTCTCCTAACCTCAGTAATCTCGGAGTTATTCCATTAACACTGTTCCTGGAGTGCTTTGCACGTAGCACAAGCAGTGGTGTTGGAAGTTCCTTAAAATGCCAAGGTACCTAATGCAAGAAATTCTTGCTGCCTGAAAACTGGTACCAATGGCTAAGTTTAAAATCCTGCTGCAGAGAGATACCAACAGTCTTGTTTCTAGGGTGAATAACAGCAAGTCTGAGTTCAAATTACAGCATTACAACTACGTATAAGTTTGCTTATATTTGATATTGGAAAGTTCTGGATACAGAAACTACTCATACTGAATTCTTCAATTGTCGCTGTCATGTGTGATGGCTTCTCCTACTGCAACCAGGATCTTAGGCAAATAACACTTATTTAAATTCTGAAACTTCAGAGAGAAAACATTTAAGAAGTTTTGCTCTATTTTTTTCAATGGGAAAATAAGAATATCATTGATGATGATGATTCTTTGTTTAGAATATGTCACTTGTGTGCACACACACCCCCCTTCCTTGGGATACTGTTTCAGGCACTGGTTTGTGATATCCGCTTGTCTCTTCTGGATATTCTGTATGTGAATTCATTGCAAGGAGTAGCGTTTTTTGAAATGCTAGTTTCAGTAAAAGTTTTCACTGTTGGCAGGTTTTGGGGCTATTTCATCTGAAGGAGTAGACCAAATCTGTGCTTATGATGAATCTGCTGTTATGTGACACTTTCTATAGAGAGATCTTCATGTGAGGACCTCAAAACACTTTAAAAATGCAAGCCATCTAGATTTTTATATTTAGAAATATGGTCTTTTCTGCAAAAAAGACATTCTTTATGCTTTTTGAACAAGAGTTCGTAAGTCTCATCAGCAGACCCAGACAAGGTACCTGAGTTTAGCAAGATGCCATTTCATACCTAGGCACGTAGAAGTAGGGATCCTGCCGAGCAGTTCTCCAAACTGTTGTTCTGTCCCTGGGGCTGGTTTCTCTGCCTCACTTGACTCTTGTAGCTTGCAGTTCTAGTACTTCTCAGCTGAGTGTGTATTAATGCAAATGTGGGTCATATATGTCTGCACATGTGTGCACACAGATATTGAAGGAGAGGGAAAATATAGGTTTGTTTTCCTTTTGGTGAAGAATTCCTGGTTTTGTGTGCTAATACACTGTCTTCAGAATCATTTCCCTCTTCTTCTCTGAACTAGATTAGTTCTCCCTCTTGGAAATCAGACTGAGGATTGAACAGATTTCCTGCCTTTCTTTGAGGTAGGATGTAATTTTTCTAGTTAGGGGGAAAACTGCATAGTTTCCTTGAAGAGCAGGGGTGGGAAAGAGATGATTTGGATATGTTTAGGGAAGCGCACTGAAGCGAAGTTAAGATTCTTTCAGGTTGTCTCTTAGGAGTCTGTCAGCAGTGTTAGAGACTCACTCGAACTTAATCTGACAATCCCTGGGGAGTCACTCCATCTGTCTTGGCCCTTAGACTAAGTGTTAAAGCAGAAGGCAATTAGTTACTCCCAAGTGGGGAAGACTAGTCAACTTCCTTCAATTTAATGACTGAGCTTGTGAGTAGAAATTAACAAGTCCTGTGTTGCAGTTGGCAGAGAGCAGCATGGTTGTATTATAGTACTCCCTTAAAAATTGGGAATAGATTAATGATCAGCATGCATTTGCCTTTCATTTTTACTTGCTTATAATAATGTAAAAAGCGCATTCTTTGCTAGTATCACTGCTTGTGCATGTGAAATATCGCTTATGTTGAACTGCCTTTTTCTTCTTTCTTCCTTCTGCCCATGCAATGGTCCCATCATTTAGAGACTTCCTAAGTAAAAACCAGGAACTGTTGCAGAAACTGTCTGAGGTGAATGAGGAGAACACGCAGCTAGTGGAAGTTCTAAATGCTCTGTTTTTCATGCCATTTGGACGACTTCATAATTACGCTAGAACTTTGCTAAAGCTTGCTACGTGTTTTGAAGTGGTAAGCGTCTTTTGTTATCTATAACTAGACAAATACACATATAAAGCTTAGAGTGCAGAAGTAACTGTGTGAAGCAAGTGCAAGGTAATTGGA